CCCCAAAACCCCAAAACCCCAAAACCCCAAAACCCCATGCATGAATTTACGGCAAATTCATTCATAAGTTGCTTGCTCTAATTTAATAATGCTTTCATAATCTAATAAATTTTTAATTTGAATTAAGATGGACAAAAGTGACTTAAATAATCCTTAGCTGCGGGTTTCTTCTCACCCTAATAATCCAACTCAAAACAATCTCCACCATGAATATTAAATGTTTCAAGCTGCGATCTAGCATTAATAGCAACTTTAGAGCTAAAATATGCAGAATAGCAATCAAGGATACACTAATTAACAAAACATTTAGATGAGTTAATAGTATCACTTGCACTATTAAAATAACTAGAATGACTCGTAATAGTAAAATATGTATTCCTGGAATGGAGTCATGGATTTTCTAAGGGACTAAGAGAAAAGAGCTCAAGAAAGGGAGCATAAGCTTATTGAAGATAAGAAGTAAGTGGAAGATAGAGTAAAACAACTAGAAGAAGAAATGAAAAACTAGATATAAATCAACAAAGACCTAGTTAAAAAGTTAAGACTAATGGAATATCAGATGCTGCAGCAGAAGAGGAGACTAAAATTGTGTCAATAACATCACAATAATAACAATTAAAATTCTCATCTAGGCATTGGTACAGTTGGACTCTCAGGAGGTAGTGGAAGCGGAGGCACTATTAGTGGAACGATAGTAGGAAACACAACACTAACACAAGGAAACTTGCATGGGACAATTTAACCTCAGATTAAAGTAAATTATTTTTATAATAAAAATCCATAGTTAACAAAACCAAAAGGTGTAAGACACTAAAGAGGGAATTCAGATGGAATTTAAAATATTGCAAGCAGGCTATTCACAAGCCATCACACTCGAGGATCTTCTGGATCAAACGGCTAACTTAAAACTTTTGAGGAAAACTTAGATGCAGGAGCAGCCATACTATCTTAAACATTAGAATTAGCATAGGATAATCAGACTAATTCAAGAACTTAAGCATAGAACTTTGCAAATTACTACTAAGCAAAACACAACAAAACTAATTCAAGCGACACCCATGAAACTGTTGAAAGTTAGCTATAACTTACGAAAGTTTACAAGCAAATAGATAATACTGGAGGAACTGGGAGCAAATCATATTTAATGCCAAGTTCAGCTGGAGCTAATATTAGCATTCCTTAGAAGAGGCGACAAATTAGTAATGGTTCCTAGATAGGTTAGTAGATTTAGGCTCAGCATGATTTATAACAGCTATAACAGTAACAATAGCCATAATAGAGATAAAACACTGCAACACCAAATAGTAATTAAGTAACTACGATTACTACAACCACAACCATTACACAAAGTTCGGCACCAAAAAGTGGAGAGCTAGCAGGCCAGCAGTAGTAACTGATAGGACAAAGAAGGAAATGGCTAGCTGAATCTTCTGCACCGAATCAAGAGCATGAATAAAGTAGTTAATTCATAAATGACAGCAGTATGATTCATAATTAATCAATGACTACTAGCTAATTGAGAATGAGTGGTTCTTCTATGAGTAGATCTAAAAACTTAGTGACAAATGGTATTTAGGATAGATACTCTAAACTTGATAAATCAAGTAATGCTCTGAATACTTCAGCTAACTCAGCTATATCTGCTGGGGCTAGTTCAAGTGTCGGTCTTGGTAAGAAATCTCATGCTTTAAGGAAGGTATTATTTTAGAGTAAATGTACTCTGAAATCTCATTTAGATTCAATTAGAGGAATACATTTTATTCCCTCTTTTAATACCTTAGTTACAGCTAGTGAGGACTGTACTATTAAAGCTTGGGATGTTAATAAATTTAGTAATATAAGAGATGAAGAAGGGACATTAAACTTTGAACCTTATGTTACATTCAGAGGAAATGTGTCTCCTATAATGTCAATTTGTGGAGCTGAAAGTTAAAATGAAAAAGATATATAAAATATTATTATCAGTGGATCAACTGATGGTACTTTAAAGCTGTGGAAAGTACCTCCTGTTTAATAAGTAGATTAGTACGGATCTAATTAAGACTAAAGCTATTGTGTATAGACCTGGGATATGGCACATTAAAAGGAACCGATTTGGGATTTAAGATTACATCAGAATGAAAGTATTTTTCTTTCTGCAGGCTCAGATTATTCTGTTGGCTTGTGGTAAATACCTTAGGATTTTGCTTTTCATAACATCAATGAGGAAGTCATAAAGAAAAAATCATCCAAAGGCTTGCTTTTAGGAAGATTTAATAAGCATATTAGCTCTCATTTGCTTATGCCAACTAGTTGCTGCTGGCTACCAAATGACTAGAATGCTTTCTTAGTAAGTTATTAAAATCCCTTGATATCGGTATGGGATGCAAGCACTGGGTAAGAATAGGGATTATTGACCTATAAAATGGATGAGAGTAAACCGTACATCCTCTAATAGATAAATAAATTAGTAATAAGTGAATCATAAAAACTGATAGTTGCTGGAACAGAAGATAATCTGATTAGATTATTTGATTTAAATTCTCACAAATAGGTAAAAACTATAGTCGCTCACACTGATGCAATTACTAGTCTACTCGTAAATAAGAAGTCCAGCTAGTAAATGTTCATCTCAGGAGGTCATGATGGCGCTGTGAGAGCGTGGGATTTGAGGACTTTCTAATGTATCTATGATACAGTTGCTCATAGAAGAAAATATGACGAGGGAGTTTTGTCTTTAGCCCAAAATGAGAAGTTGCCACTGCTTGCATCAGGCGGTGGAGATTCTCTGATTAAGATAATGCAAGAGTAATGATCATATGATCATTTTTATAATTTTTCGAGGAGAGTTCATTATGTATTAGATGATTACTCGTATACACACAATTACTTGTTATGAATTTTTACATTTCTTCATTTGAAGATGCTTAAATTCTTCTTATTTCGTTTCATGGGGTTTTGGGGTTTTGGGGAGATCGGAAGAGCACATTACT